TAATCAAGGCAGTTACTTTTTACAGTTGAACCTATACCTCCCTTCAGTGAATTTGTTATAGTTTCAAAAAAAAAAAAAAATACTAGTTCTACTAGCATTGGCCTTCCTCATCAATAGAGCATGTGTTGCATATTGATAGTCTCGGTTTATCTTCTCGTTTTGAAATTACATAGGACTGGAGTCCATATTTCTGACTTCACTAACTCACAAGACAGTTTCTAAAATAATTGCCAGAATACACTTCCATTTTGTTTGTGCTTAAAACAAAACGGAATGATTCTTCACCAGTGTCTTAGTTCAGGATGCTGACATAAAATACCAAAAGCTGGGCGGCTTCTCAACGACAGAAATGTGTTTGTCATAGTTCTGGAGGCTGCAAGTCCACCATCACGGGCCGGCCCAGTCCTGGTGAAGCCTTGTCCCGGCGCAGCCCGGGTCTCTCCATGGCGCCCTCACCTGGAGGAGGGGCTGTGGCGGGGCTCTGGCCTCTTCTCAGGGCACTAACCCCACCGGGGGCTGCACCCTCAGACCCAATTCCCTCCCACGGCCCAACCTCCAAACGCTATCACACTGGGGATCGGATTGCAACATATGAGCTTTATTTCATTTTTCAGAGGGGGGACACAAACATGTTTTTAGTCCTTAACCACCAGTATAGATTAAGGAAAGTCTCTTTTTTTAAAAAAAAATAACGTTATAATTCATTTGATAATAAAATGTGTTTTCCATTTTTCAGTTACAGCGTTTATCAGAATCCATTTTAGTTCATATCAAAACTTCAAAAAAATTCATACACTCATTGTCTTGGCTGAGTCTCATGGCATGGGTATGTTAAATTGTGCTTTAAAGAAGGTATCGATCTCAAATATGACCGAAAAAGCTATCCGCTTAAACTCTGAAAGAGGCACTAGAAATGTTGCTGGGAGAGTAGTTAGGGAGTTTAATCAACCTTGAAGTGTGGAAGCTATTTTATTTGATGAAACCTGTTATCACACTTGCTCAAACCCTTTAGTTGTATGCTAATTCCATTAGGAAAAACATGTTCTATAACAAAGCTATTTCTAAGTAATTGCTCCCGTTGAAGGTAATTGCTACCACTCACCGAGCTGGTTTCCCATATGATATTTCATTTAATTCCCACAAATATCCTAGGAGTTGGTTATTATTATTTCTGTTTAATAGATGAGGCATCTGCTGTTCAGAGAAATGAAATAATTTTCATAAGTTTCCATATTTAACAAGTGGCCGCGTGAAATCTGTTTGACAGATCTGTGTGTAAAGCAATCTTAAAATGTTGTTTTGGGTGGTATTGCTATAAAATTTGGAAACCCTGTGTTCTCACTTATACTTTAAATTGTCGTTTAGAGTTTTAGTCCTATGTTTAAGTAATCGTGAAAGATGTAATTTCTGGCATATTATAAATCTTGATAGTAACAAAGTTTAGATTCTCTTTAGCTATAACCTATGCAATAAAAATATCAGAGATTTAATATGTCCCATTATTTTTTTAAAAAAGTAATCTTTGGAGTTTAAAATTGTACATTGCTCTGCCCCCTCCCCCCCGAACTCATAGTTTAATTTCACTGCCCCCTGGGTTTTATCTAATTATATATTTATGCTTGAAAATATTTTATTGATAATTCTATTATACACTTCAACAAAACATGCATTTTTTTCATCTTATTTCTACCCATTTTCTCTTTGAGGAAAGTCTAAAGTCACCGCAGTTTCATTTCCATATCCTGGGAAGGAGATTTTTCATGGTATATTTATAACAGCAATATTCCACTAAGCGAAAAAAGTTAGAATGCATAAGTTTTCTTTATAGAAACCGATAAAAAATTTAATGCTTTTATTGTTTGCATTTTAAATTCATTTACTGAACAAATATCTATTGAATCATTCTGTATACAAAATGGGGGTACAGCAATGAACAAATAAACGAAGTAAGACACAGGCCTACCCTCAGGTAAGTTCTGCTAGAGTGGGGAGCCAGATGTTAGAGAATCAATCGCAAAATTAATAATTTAATACAATTATGAGAATGTCTAGGAATAAAAGATAAGGTGCTAAGAGAGCATATAAAAGGGGATTGATGTCTCAGGATGAGGGAGCACTTTCTTGACTAAGTTATATTTGGTCTAAGGGCTGAAAGATTAGATGGTATAAGCCATCTGGGGTGAGGGTTGTTGAAGAAGGGTATGTACAAAGGTTTTGAGATTGGTAGAAACACGTTTAAAGATTTTTTAAAAAGCTAGTAAGTCAGGGAAGTTGAAAGAAAGACATGGAAATGATCCAAGGTGGGGTTGGAGAGGAGACAGAGGCCAGGAAGGACAGAACCTTCCTTGCAGGAGATTTTCATGATTTTCTTTATCTCAAGACTCAATGGCCATTGTAGAGATTTAAAAGCAGAGATGTATAGTCATGTGCATTGGAAAAACATCACTGTGGGCAAGAAAGAAAACTGGAACATCATCTAGGATGTTCATGGGTCCGAGAAGGAGGTGCTGGTACTTTGGACTTGGGTGGTAGCAATCCAGCCAGGGAGACCGGTCCACAGCATCACAGTACAATACTGCACATACTGTGGAAATACTTAGGGACTATGTCCTGCGGGAGATTTGGGGGAAGCCAGGATGGTACTGTGATGGTTAATAGAGCATGATTTGGAGTCTAAGTTTGAATTCAGGAATATTCATTTACTAACTTTCTTCTCTAAACTGCCTAAATTGTCTCATTTAAGATATGGGACTAATAATAGTATATTATTCATAATGTGGTCCTAACAAGCATATGGCATGATATATAAAAATCATCAATCGGCCAGGCACATAGTAACTGCTTAAAAAATGTAATAACTTTAGCTCTTTCATTATTACAGGGGAGAGGCTGATCAGCCATCCGATAGAATCAGGAAAAGTGACACAGTGATAGTTTATATCACATGTACAGGGCATGTATAGTTCACCTCTAATAAATTCTTGGTTAAGTAATAAATGTTTTATGACAATGTAATAATTTATTACGTTTTTTATATGTTAAGCCCTGCAATGAGCATTCTAAAAATATTATCTCACTTAATTCTTATCTGGTTCTAAGAAGGAAATATTTTTATTATCCCCATTTCACAGACGGGAATCCTGAGACCCCAAAATATCAGTTCCTTGCTCAAGATTCCACAACAAATGGCCAAGCTGGGATTTAAGTCAAGTCCAGACCAATCCAATACTTAGATCTTAACTGCTACACATTCTATAAGCTGCTTCTTTTCTTTTAGTTTTATTTATTGGGTGACAATGGTTAACAAAATTATACAGGTTTCAGATGCGCGGTTCTACAACACATCATCTGTACACTGTACTGTGTGTACACCACCCCAAGTCAAGTCTCCTTCCATCTCCATTTATCCCTTCTATTCCCTCTTCCCTCCCCCCCCCTCCCCGCAATTGCCTGTCTATAAGTTGCTTTATCTAAAAGTGCTGCTGAATTCAAAGTAACTTTTGCTTATTGTGCTTTTGCTCAATCAATGCATACTAAAAATATATTTCTATAAAGAGTAAAAAATATTTATAGCATTTTATCTGAACATTTTTATTTTATAAATGAAAAAAAAAATACATAGCCATGGCTGAGTGGCTCAGTTGGTTGGAGCATCATTCTGTACACCAAAGGGCTTTGGGTTCAATTCCTGGTTAGGGCGCATACCTAGGTTGTGGGTTTGATCTCTGGTCAGGGAGCTTACAGAGGATGGCCAGTTGATGTTTCTCTCTCTCGCTAAAAAAATCAATAGAACGTATCCGTAGGTGAGGGTAAAAAAATACATAGGGGAATAAAAAATAAATTACTGTTTATTTAAACTTTCATAGATAATTTCTGCACACTTGCTGTAAATATCTTCAGAATTCCCCCCACAATGTATTGATGTATGAGTTATACACACACACACACACACACACACACACACACATATATTTCAATCCTCACCCAATGATATTTTTCCATTTATCTTCAGATAGAGTGAGAGGGAGGGAAGGAGAGAGAGAGAGCGACATCAATGTGAGAGAAACATCGATAGGATCAAACCCACAACATCTTTAGTGTTGGGAGGATACTCTAACCAACTAAGCTGCCTAGCCAGGGCTTAGTGTATTTTTTTAAATAAACAAATTGAATTAAGTGAATTAAATCAAGTAAAATAAATTAATTAAATGTATCAGTTTTTTAAATTGTGGGGTTTCTCTGGCATTTTACAAATAAATTCTATTCATAATTATACAATAAAAATATGGCATTTTGGGACATTAAAAAGAGGTATTCATTCTTCAAAAGTTGGGAACCACCTGTGTCAGAAATAAAGTCACACAGACTATGGATTTGTGGTGTCACCAGGAAGAAATTGACAGGTTTTCTGCTTTGGGGAGAGTTTCACTGGCTTGTGGATGTTTGACAGGTTTCTTGCTTGTCAAAGTCTGAAAATATGAGATTTTTTTTCTTTTTGTTTTCATCTGCTTTTCTTGAAACCACAGAGTTTCTTGTTTTTCAGGTAATCCACTACAAAGTGTAACACATCAAAAGTGGATCATCTCCATATGAAAGTTGGGACTTCAGAGGCAGAAGAATGAGCTGTATTTTTGAAATTGTTCAGTTAATGGACCCAGAATAATAGTAATAAATCCAATAGTTCCACATCTTACGTTGTTCATCAGGAAAATATGTTTACTTTTCAAAAATATGATTATATATCATACAATAATAAGTACAGACGTAATATTAGACTTGAAAGAATACTGGCAAATGTGCAGATAAAATTCTGGCTTATTTTATAAACACAGTTTGTTTATTGAGTTGTGTATTAAAAGGCCATTTAATGAATTGCTTTTATTGTGAAATTTGTCACTTGAAATAGAAATGCCCACCACCCCTGCCCCCAGGTCAAAGAGATGCATGTTTCTATGAACAGTTTAATCCCACATTTATCTGAAATCTCTTTCCTCTTCTAGCTGTTTCTACCCATTTGGAATCATACATGGCTTCAGATGGCAATGCTCTCGTAAGTACCCTTTGGAAGGCTCTGGATTTTAGATATTAATCGTTAGTTTGATAAATGAGTAAAGAAACTAGACACGCTGATTTTAAGTTTGACTACGTAGTTATTGTCTTTCACATTAGTCACATGGGATTTAATGCTCCTTTGATAGATTTCAAGGGTTCCTTATGATCACCAAGTGTTTGTTTCAGACTCCTACCTTGTTCCTTTTAAAGATCAACACACATCACCATGATTTTAATGTCCTGCACACAAATCATTTCTGTTTTAAATTAACTATGGTACTAGTGCAACCTGTCATGCAACCTCTATGGGTTCAAATTCTGTTAATTATTACACTGACATTGTAGGTTTCTTGTAAGATAATTTTGTAGCCATAAATTTGTCTCAACTGGTAAGTCAACTGAGCACGTCTATTATTTCTGATAGATGACAAAACTTAAGCAGGGGACATGGGGACATCGATATAAGCAACGTGAGTTTCTACAGGAAGGGGATCGGGGCCGTGGGGGACTGCATGTGTGTGTCTTCTAGTGACCTCAGGAGAGATCCATAGGTTAGAGTTTTTGGAGTAGAGCCAAAAGCAGAATCAGAAATAGGGTGTTGAGAGGATGTAGGATAGACTTCCTGCCAAATAGGGAGCGCGAACACTGGCTTCCTGCGGCAAAGGAGAGCATGGCTGTCAAGGGAGGGTGTGGTGCCAGCAGGGGGAAATTGAACTGGACAGCTCCTGGAAGGTACACCTTACTAAAAAGCACGGCGGGGGAAAAATTATCTGCTTACTTTCACAATTTCAAATGCCAGAAATAGAGAAGGCAGTGAGAACACTTTAATTCTGATGCTAATTTTAAATGAGGCAAAAGAGCTTACTAGTGATAAAAAGTGGTGGAAACTTTGGGAGACAGGATTGCTGAAAACTAAAAATGAAAACATGAATTACAGTCAGTTTTGTACCCTAGGAAATGAAACCATCTAAAACTTGCAGAAAAGGAAGTCTGATCTGTTGGATGCAAATGGGTGGGTGTTGTTCCATAATAAAAATGTGAATAATCACAACAAAGGTAGAGAAGAACAACGAAGAGAATAAATGTTGTCGCAATGGGAGAGTCTTGCCAAAATTAGATACCAAAGCATATGTACAGGATGTTAAAGGAGGCTCCTATGGTCAAGGGTAAAAGCAAACAGATTTGTAAAAAATAGAGTCAGAAAGACTAAAGTTCACAGTATCCAAAGTTTATAAAAATTTTTAAAAAGAAAAATGCATATGATTGATTGTAAGCACACGTGTACATATTATATGGGAAAAATGAAAAGGTAGAATTAGGACTGTTGGATTCTTGAGAAAATTAATGCTTTCTTCTATTGCTTCTCCTTTTTCATGGAAAGAATGTTTAAGAAGAAATGGAAATTAAGAAAATAAGACAACACCTAAGCACTTCAAATTAACAAATACATTCATTCAATCATCCATCCATCCACTGAAACATTCTTTTAATGTTCACTGATGACATCCCCTGACTCTATCAGGTATCAGCCACAGTGCTAGGTAGGAACTGGAGATTTGTGACTTAAAACACGTTGAAATCACCACATCTTATTAAGAAAGCATAATGCCGGGTATTGGAACAAAGACTGCAGATGTGATTATCTAAGGACTAACATATCATCCATATAATTCTCACTCTGAAGCGGTCACCATTGTAACATGTCACCTGCTTCTCCTTGAACCTGGGCCCATGTGGATTCTGTTTTCATTGGCGGGAACTCTGGCTATTTGCGGGTCATTCTTATTTCAGGAGCCAACCTCCACTCTTAGATTCAATCAGCTCAGCTCTCCCTGTGCGCATATTTACCTGTTATTTTTGTCTTACAGCCGAAGGGGCTGGGCGGTACTGCTTAACATCCCTCTTAAGCATTTCTTCCAGCTGTTTTTCAGTGGTTACCCTACTTTATCTTTCCATTCAGAAAATTAGTTCACTTTTCTGCTGTCATTTGTTCCCTAAATAAAATGTAGCACAGGAGACCTATTTTTGTGCTAGGTAGTTTCGGTAAGCTTGACACATTTGACCTATCACATCGTGAATTACACTTCATTTCCACTCAACTAACATTTATTGGGCTATATGTGTGTGCCGAGCATTGCTCAGTGCTGGGGCATGAAGACGAGGAGCTTACCACCTGGTAGGGGAAGGGCAATATATGGAAGGCAGTTGTGTTGATTCTGACCTGATAGTTATGGTTGAGGTTGGCATGGTAAATGGTGCAAATAAAACGGCTCATAAAATTTGATGCAAAGCATTTGAAATTTCATTATACGTGTGGCAGAATAGCATTGCTCTTTTCTTGTTAAGCTGAATTGTTTACTACTTGATAGTATTCTTTTCTGTCCTCTGAAGGGGAACAGCAAACTTTTCAAAAGTAAAACTTCACATAGAATCAAAGGTATTAACTCACCAAGTTCTGTTGGTTTCACCTCCTAAATATTTTTCCACCTTCACAGACACAACGCTTCCCTCTGCCCACTGGGCTCTTTGCCTCTACAGCTGCTGCCCTCCAATCCACTTGCCATGCAACAGCCAGAGAGAATTTTCCTAAATGCCTATCTGATTATGCCACTCACCTGCAGACATCTGTTCAATGGCTTCCCATTGGCGTGTGGGTAAACTTTTAACTTTCAAACCTAACTTTCGAGGGTCCTGCATGATGCGACTTTGCTATTCTGAATGTGGTTCTCCCCCACACTCTGTGGTTGGTGTCTACTGGATCGTACTTGCCTGCTCTACCTGATCCTCGTATGCTCAGGTCTTTATCACACACGTCTTTGTTTGTATCAACTCGTGGGGTGCCCTTCCTGGCTCCCCAGTTCTGGGTCAATGCTTTAATGAGCTACATTACAGCACTTCGCTCCGGACCTTATTATCCCTGTTGAGTTCTATGTCGTCTGTGTTTGACTGGAATCTGTGTGAGAGCGTGCTTGCCATTGAATCTCTAATTTTTGACACTGAGTAATTTTTGCAGTACCTGGTGGCTGAATGAACAAAAACCATAATTTACCAAATTGTGATCTGAAATAAAGAATCAACCTAATCACTTTAGAAACTGGTCTTAGCTTGTTGGGAAATCTTCAGCATGATTAGATTTGGTCCAGTCCCTAAGCATCTCTAAACATCCAATTGTGTAGTCCTTGATACTTTATAAGACTTTCTGTACACCACACTGTGGTGGTAACCAAGTATTATACACCAAATCAGTATTGCTTCATTTTCTTTTATGATTAGTTTCTCATGTAAATAAACAAACCAATACAGAGAGATAAATAAATAACAACCAGCATATATGAATCTGAAAAGCTTGATTAAGAAAGCTCTCTGGTCTCAGATTTTAGCAACAGTGTTTTAGCTAAGAAAGGAAAACAGCCTTGAATTAAAGATGACAAGGCTCAGAGGGAATGGGATACATTATCTTTTCTCCTGTTGCACATAATTCTTTTACCTAAAGCTTCTGAGATTTCTTACTTTCACGGATGGCTCTCGTGGGGAAGAAATGTCAGAATTATCTTAGATCAAAACTTCATGACAATGTTTGCTCAAGAATCCTTTTCGATGAAATTCCTCCATTAAATATTGCCTGCAAATAAAATGTCAAGGAAAAACTTTTTCCAGAAACAAGTCTCTGTGTGTAAATCATGGTTTCTTTGCTTGGTTTTCAAGACGGGGAGGGGCAACTCTCTGTGAATGGACATGTACTTCTAGCGCTGTGGTTGGGTGACCTGCGGGTGCCTGGACGGTCATCTCTGAGATGATCAGTCTAACAGCAAACTGGTACTTGTCATGTTTGCCTCACAAGAAAGTTCAGAGTTCTGCTTTCATTACTCACAGAACATGTATTGCCCAGGCTTTATGTGTCCTGTGTGCAGTGAAAAGCCCAGACATGATTCAAGCCTCATTGGGAACCTGCTCTGCCCATCTCCACGCCCATGGCATGTGTCTCAGGGATATGGTGATATTCAGAGATGGAGTGAGGAATATTTATTTTCACCAACTGAAAACAGCTAAAATTTTGGCTTGTTTTTTTTAGGCTACATCAACATAAGTCTATGCCGAAATGGCTGAGCCAATGATGCTGGGCATAAACATGCCACACAGCTCAAACTTAAGAGGCTATTTAACATATTTGCTGTCCCAAGTAAGACTTCAAGGGGAGAGGTGCATGCCAGCTGCCTGGGGAATAGATTACAGGGTAGGGGCTTGTTAGCTACCACTGGAAAACTCCTGACCCTCCTCCCAGCCCCCCTTCTCCGCCCCCATGCATTGCTATGTTTGGATTCCAGATTCTTAGTAGTTGGAGGATATGGTTAAAACAGGATGCTGGAGAAAGCTACTGTGGTTTTTGAGGAAATAGCATTTTAGATAGAAGTAGAGATTTGCTCAGCACAAGTCCATTTCACCTTCAAGGAAATACCAGAGTTTGACTCTCCAGGTGGGTTCAAATTTACTGTCAGTTAATCCCAGGGGCTTTTCTCTAAGTATGTGGTGCTTTGGGGGTGAGAAGGGTGATGGGCCAACTTTTATGTCGCTTCACTCTGCTGATGTTATTTACTAGAGAAGGCATTTGTCAGCTCTGAATAATCAAGCAGTAGATGGCTTTTCAGATGTTTGTTAAAGCTCCACTTGTACAAGTACTTCTGGTAAGGCATCATAGAAAGTAAACATTGGTGGAAGACACAGTTAATCTGTTGGTAAGTATTCACTGAGTGATTTCCAGGTGTCAGGCATTCGGCTAGGTGCTAGATTTTGAAGTAATGACAAGTTCAAGACCATCAATTCTATCTTGAAGTCTTGGGCAGACTTTGACTGTAAACAGGTATCATCATTAAAATAAAGAATTGATAAGAGATTTGATAAACTTTGAAAAGTGGCATGATGGTGTCAATGTTGAGATAGCAGAAAGGACCTGTGTGAGGTCATGCACAGGTTCCGGGTTGGACCACTGGGGGGATAATG